GGTTCCTGGAAATTTCAGTTATAGTTTAAATCGGACCGGTCCAATGACCCTTCGCTTCACTGGTTTGGCCCGCTAAACAGTCTGACATTTCTATCTTTGTAATGTACTACTCACAAGGTTGCTGAAAATCCGTCGACAATTCACGACCGGTTTCGCCCTTTTGGGGGCTCATCAGGTAAGCGTAGTCCCCGGATTTCCGTCAACTTTAGGTTCTACTTAAAACCAGGCAGCCTTGAAACCTGACAGCCAGGTTATCTGGCTAACACTGGCTCAAGCCCTGCGTAAACCATTACATAAAGCTGCCAGCGACAGGCGTTCCCGTACACACGAGTTGTCCCAACGAGGGAGTAAGATTAAGCTCTTCTTAAGAGTTTTCAAGCATACTCCGAATTTGTTTCTCGATGATCATGGACGACAGTTTACTGCTCATCGGCATGTCTTCGAAACGTATGTCAGGCTGCAAGTGTACGAGGAATTCATCCGATCAAACGTTTTTCAGCCAGAACCATACCTGGCTGTTTTTCGTACACAGATATCATCAAAATCAGAAGAGGCCATTTAACAACGAATGCAACGAGACTTCAAAACACACAGAATCGACAGCTTGACGTCTGGAAGTTTAACGAGGTGAGTCTGAGAGCATAATCGCCCGGGCACACTATGTGGGTATTGACTTTGAGTGTGCCACGCAAGTTGTGGACATGAATAAACACGAAGTATTCAACATGTGCACAACTTCAACTTATTCGATGGGCGATTTCATTGAATTTGCGGATTATGTTGTCTGGCTGACTAGTTAAGGTCCAAAACTGCTGACAGGAATGTTAGTGATTCGAACCTAACCTCGGTGTGTCACGGGTCAATGTCTAGGCTTCGATATTCTAGCAGCGCTCAGTTCTCGTGATTAATTCTGGTGGCCTGGCAGCTACGGCACACAAAAAACCCTTCACAGCTTACTGATTATATTGCTTTCATACAAGAACACAAAAAACACCAGTTATTGTTGTTTTTCTGTCAGTATGAATCAAATATAACTTTTTTGAATCCCACACCCAAGTGACTCAACCGCACTGGAGTAAGAAGAACGATTCGGGCGAATATGCAAAAACAACTTTAAAATTCAAGTCGGGGTGATGCTCACGACATGTCTCTGTTAGTCCAGCCTGACCGTATGCAGACGGCACATGGATTCTGTGAACCTTTCGATAAGATGCGCCGTTCTAGTGTCACTTAATAGTAAATATATAAAACTCCAAATCATATCCACAGAGACGCGTAGAGAAATACGATCACACATTGAGTGAAGTCGATGTTAACAACAGTCAGCGGTATACCAAATGTTCAAAAAACAGTTACACCCTATGACATCCAATAAAACGCATTGAACCAAAACGAGTAAATGTGCATTACGCACATCCAAAACCTACAGTCTAAAAGGAAACTTGTCATTGCCACGTTTGCCAAAAGTAGACAAAAACACTCCGAAAAAGACCGCTACAGTAAGAATTCTATTCACGATTTCGCAGTCAGTAGTATCCAAAAGCTTTCAAGAGCCCAGCTACCAGAATGCCCAAGGAAATTCAGAATCTGAATATACCTTGCAAGACAAGGCAATGGCTCTACAAAACGGCTTGGAAAAACCCACTTTATCGGAGTTCCATTAAAGCACAGAATGAGCTGAGCCGGCGTACTCATGGCCTTCTACCTTTAAGAAACCTGTTCCAACTAACACAAGTCTGATAACTACGTCGTCGTCATTACTACACAACCGGTGCTTGGCGTCAGCTAAAACTGGCATGAGCGACCCTGAGCATAACGTCGCTTCACTTGGAAACGAATCACTTCTTCAACTACTACTGCAGCCATACTTAGCTTCATGAGTACGCAGAACCAGCAGGTTGTAGAAACACCCAGAATCACCCTACGTCTAAGCAAACCATTCAAGTTGTTCCCAAAGAAACTACAAAGGCTTCACACGAGGTGCTCCTGAAATTCGTGGGCATAATCCGGTCGCTATATTCACACATTTCCTGAAGTGCTAGATTGTATGGGGAGCATTCTGACAGCTTTTGTACAGAATATGATGTACGGCAGTTATATCCACCATCCCTCTTTCTGTTTCGCCCCATTACTGCCGAAATGATGAGGTGAAAGCTAGTGTGTCCCCAATAACTTTGAGGTTCACATCGTCGCTTGTGAGAAACTTGATGCTGTGGAAAGGACAGTGAGTTACTCTTTCCAAGATAAGTCATTAAACTACCACGTCTAACAGCCCTAGGTGGTAAAAATGATGGATCGATCTTCCAGTTCAAAGCCCCTGAATGTGTAAAATGTTCAGCCGGCAAGTAAGTGTAAGCGTGGGGTAGATGAGCCAAACGTTTATGACAAGTTTCAGCTAACTACACGTATTTGATAAGCCGAAATTAGATCGAGAGACCTTGGATTGCTGAAAATGTCAGGTGCAGGAAACATTTCTCAGTTTAATGAAATTCTACACAAGCTGTTTCGTGTATCTACGGCTACAGAGAGGAAGTAGGTAGCAAAAAAATGACACCCAGTGGTCTAGACAAGTCAGGCTTAATCTCGAAAGCACCTCAAACAGGCAAAAAATCTCAAGTGGCTGCTCAAAGTGAAAGCTACTCACTTTAGATTCCAAGTCGATGACAGTTAACCGCCTTGATGGAGTACCAGACTCTTCCATCCTTACATCTCCCATTTTTCCGGCATGATCACTGTGTTTACTCGAGGTGACCGAGTACGTTCGGTCCGAAACACCATCTGCGCTGGTTTGCACCCCATTGGAATCTTGTTGCATGTCCAGGCGCTCGCGCCTTTCTCTGGCGAGACGGACTCGCTCTCGTCGCGCTTCACGTTCCAAGGCCTGTTCCCGAGCTTGTTTTTCCGTGTCCAGTCGAATGCGTTTCTCCAAATCTGGAAGCTGTGATTCAATGTAGGCGAGCAGCCATCGCAGGCCCATCCGAATTGCTTTGTCCAATTTTTTATGTTTACTTAGCAAAGCACAACATCGTTCCTGTGGATGTAAAGTTGATTAGCCATTCCGAGTGAATCAATGTTTTTAAATACCGTGCCAACGTTCACAATACCTGTTTGTCTCATTTTTACCATATCAATCAAGACACTATTCCAAGAAGATCCTGGTTCGTTAAGCTTTATTCAGTTAGCACAAACTTTCTTACGCAAAGGGAGTTTAAC